GGCAGAAGGGTTGACTTTAGTAAAGGTAGAATTATTTCTCTTTACACTTTTAAGGTTACAGGAGTTACTTGCCTTTTAAAAACAAACCGAGGAGAGCTGCCCTGCCTGCGTTCCTAGATGATGGTGCAGGAGCTAAAGGCAGAGCCCCGTTTGTTGGTGCTCTGCGTCGGCACGAGTTTCCCCTTCCCATAATATCCCGAGAATATCGCCCTCACATCGATCTTTTTAGACAGAACGAGCATCCACATACCGTTATCAAAATACAGCAGTTTCCCTCCTCCGATTTCCCCCACTTGCTCCCCTTTGTTCCCCGCCTTTTCCAGCTTCACAAACTCCAGCAGGTCGAGCCCGGTCTGCACGGCTTCCACGCCGTTGGCACAGCCCAGGGTGATGTGGGCACGGCTGCCCCGCGGGAGGTTGTCCGTGGGCAGGATCTTGTCAGCATCCCCGGGCCACAGCAGCAGCTGCTGCTCGCTCAGCTCGATGCGAGCCCCGACAGTCTTTGTGGTGATGAACAGAGCCGAGATGGAGAGGGTGAAGCCTTTGCCGTAGGAAGCTTTCACAGCCTGCAGGAGAGGGAATGCAGAGGGAGCAGGGTTAGGTCTGTGGGTGGGGATTCACAGAGCTGCACTGGGGTCACTGTACCCCCTGCTCATGGCAACTCTTGCTGTGACATGGTTGAAATACCCAGTGCAAGGAGAGGGTCAGTGCCTGATGTCAAAATCTTCGTCCTTCACAAATTCAGATATTTAACCTGGGCTTATGTGCTCTGAAATAATCGCTCTGGGAATGTGAATACCTCAATTCATCATCACTCAACTCAAGCTGTCAGAGATGGTGCTGGAAGCTGTGTGTGACGGGGGAAAGTGGAAGGATTTTGTTTGGAAATAGGAAACAACCACTTCTCCACAATTCCAAGTTTTCTCTTGCACAGGCCACATGGACGTAGTTCCTATCCCTACATTTGGCCTCTTGGCTCAGAGCAAAGCCCGTCCCCATCCTCCCCCAGGCTCACAGACACTCTGCTGGGGATGGGGGGGACATTGGGGGTGTGGAGTGGAGGTGAGACCCCAACACTCACTTCCTGCTGAGCGTATTCCTCGGCTCCGGCTGCTTTTCCAAACTCGGTGTATTTTGTGGTGCAGTGCAGGACTCCAGGCGGCCTCTTCACAAAGTAGCTGGTGAGATCTATTTTGATTTTGGGATCTTCGATAGCAGAAGGAACTGCAGATACAGGAAAACAGTGTCAYTGTCACAGAGTGATCCCCCTGATGTCACCCCATGAGCCCCAGTCCCATCTCAGCTCCCTTCCCTACCCCAACCTTCACATCTCATCCCTCTGACTGCTGGGGAGCACTGGGTGGAAAACCAAACCCTTCCCTCCTCCCAGGCTCCCCACAGATGCAGCCAGAGAACTGAAACTTCTGTGCATCATCGTGGCTCGTTTTAAACCTGGTGATGTGAGAGCTCCCTAAGGGATGGGATTGTTCAGCCTTTCCCATTTCTCTCTCTTTGCCTTTTTCCCACCCAACCCAGTGGAACCAGGGGACACTCAGGACTCCACATCCTGCTGCTGACACCCAATCCCAGCACCCTGTGGGGCCAAAGCTAAACAGACTTGGAAAATTCCTTAATTTATTTGTATTCACAAAAGCAACTTTGTCAACTATGAGGATCAGTTTAGTAGCTTTAAAAAGCTTTTCTTTCTGACAGCTTTTAGAAGCTGATCAGACTTGTTAACATCAACAGGTAAGAACATGGTAAGAAAATATTTATACATACAGTATTTACTCTCCTTCTTGAAGGCTTTGAGACTCCCAAGCTCATCCAAGAATGCCTGGCCAGCCTTCCTTAGGATCTCCGAACTTCTTTTGCTCAAAAACCACCCAAAATACATGGGGAGGAATTCCTTCTCCAAGCTCGGCTTCATCTTCTTCAGCTCTTCCACAGAGAGTTTCCACTGATTCTTGTCTTTTAGCTGGGGACAATCCAAGCGCCACGGGGTTTTGGGCTCGGCGAAGATGACTTTGTAGCGGTACTTGTCAGCAATGTCAAAGAGCTGGTCCAGCCGTTCCCGCTCGTGGTGRGTGTCATCCAAAACGATGACGCTGATCTCCCGTTTGCAATAGTCAACTAGATCCTCATCGACCTTGGAGTACTCTTCAGGAATGGAGCTTCTTATTAAGGGTGTAATTTTATAGTGGTCGACAGAGATGACCTTGCAGGCGTCTTTGTACCGATCGTGGATGGCCTGGGCCAGGGTGGACTTCCCACTGCCAGGCAAGCCCCGGAGGATGAAAAAGGTTTTGGATTCTTTGAGCGTGGAGATGGTTTCTTCATCGTCCAGGAATGGGAAGTGCAAACTCTCAGGTCTCTCTTTYGCTGATTGAGTAGACATTTTTCTAAATATTTTAGGCAGGAAAGGGTGACTCTTCTTGGAGAAGCCTCTGTTCTGGAATGGAAGGAGRAAACACTTTGCAGGGCAGGAACCCCAGAGACACCCACCTTTAGTGGAAAGGATGTGGCACAGAGAGCATTTCCCCCACACTCCCTCGCTTGGGTGCCCTGCTGAGCTGACACCCCCTCCCACAGCAGGGACCTGCATCCCACCCGAGGGCTGAAGGTTCAGCCCCGCTCCCYGCTCTGGCCTCTGCAGCTGCAGCCCTGCCCTGCCAGGAAGGGGTTTTTCAGTCACCGTGAGCTGCCAYAAAGCCCCAGCCCAGGCAGAGCTCCTCGTGTGCTCTTTATTTAGAGCYCACATGTCCTCTGAACGCTTGAACAAACCCCTGTGGCTGCCGGATTTGAGGGCAGTGACCAGTGGAGGAGTTCAAGAGGAACGGAAAGTCCCAGCAGGTGGAGAGCTGCCACCCTCTCGTCCCTTCACCCGAATCACAAACCTATTCCCAGGGAAGAGGCTGATTCCTAAAGCAAGGATGACGCTGTCTCTGTCAGAGCTGCAMTGAGGATCAGCAGCTGAGTGCCTCRMAGGAGGGAATTTGAGCTTCTCTCAGGAAGAACAACTGAGCTTCCAGGAAAGCCAAACCCCTCCCAGCAGCTGCGAGGCAGAACTCGAAAGTGAAACCTCGAGGGCTGGGGAAATGAAACRCTGCTGGTTGGTTGGCAGCAGTGAGCGGGAAATGCCGCTGGGAGCTGGCAARGGCTCTCCCTCCYCTCCTGCCAGCAGCTCCGGTAAGTRGAATCCCAGATTAATTCCCAGCAGAGCCTGGGAAAACACTCAAAGGAAAGGGGGGATTCCTTCAGCTGTGCGAGACCTCAGTAGCATCAACGAGGCAGACACTGTTTGTTGGGTCAATACATGAACTTTCCACCTCCCCAGCTGCCTGTGAGCCAGTCCAGCCTGGAGCCTATTGGACCTGCTGAAAAACCACAACAGTGATGCCCAAGGAGTGAGTTTTGCYTTTAATGCAAAAATTGAGAGGTTTTACATAAAACATAACTGCTCTGCCTGGGCCAGAAAAATATTTTTCCAGTTTGCGGAGTGATGCTGTTTTACAAAAAAAAAACATTTTTCAGGTGTTGAATTTCCCCATCTCTTTATTCCAGAAGATGGAAATGGAGCAGGAGCAGGACCCCACAGCTCCCACAGGCGCTTGCCTCCCCTGGGGTCAGCTGCAGCCGCATACTCAGGCGGGGACCCCGAGTGCTCCCATGGGGACAAACGGGTCCTGAGAGCAGCGGAGAACTCCGGGCTCCCCAGCGACCCCCGTGCTGCCTTCCCCGCGGACTYGGGGCTCAAAGTGCTCACACAGGAGGCAGCCGGTGAGTTACCTGGAGCGCTGCTCCTTCTCGCAGCGCAGGTGCCCCGTTTGCCAGGGGGTCGCACGGCCGAAGGCGGTGCTGCGGTGGCCCCGGGCAGGGCTGTCCCCGCACCGCGCTGTCCCCGCACCGCGCTGTCCCCGCACCGCGCTGTCCCCGCACCGGGCAGTCCCGCGGGCGGGGGCCGGGGCCGCTGTTCTGCCGCGGCAGCTGCTGAGGGGACTGAGGCGCTTTTCAGCCCCAGTAAACAAAGGAACAATCGCGGCCCCCCCCGGGTCATTGTTCGCCGCCGGCTCGGAGACAACGGGCGCCTTCACGGCCCGGGCCGGGCGGACAAAGGCTCCGCAGAGCCCGGGGGAGCGGGGTCTCGCCGGACAATCTCCCATTGAGCCGGGCCCGGCCCCCCCGCCGCCCCCACAAAGCTCCCGCTTGTGTCCGGCTCCCCATGGAACAGGGGATCGGGTGGACAGAGCGATCGCTCCCGGTCCCGGGCTGTCCGTGCCCCGGCAGCCCCCAGAGTGTCCCGGGACCCCCGGGATGGAGTCACGGTCCCCCGGGGCCGTTCCCGGGGCTCGGCTGCCTCCGCGTCCTCCCAGACCCATCGCCCACGTGTCGCCAACGCCGCCGGCGCTTCCACCCTCCTGGGAATCGGAACCATTGCCCGGACRGGGCRGCGGCCCCGATCCCGGTCCYAGYCCCGATCCCAGTCCCCRTCCCGCCGGCCCCTCTTACCATGGTGAGGGCAGCGGCTCCGGGGCGGCCGCCGGTGCGGAGCGGCGCGGCGGGGAAGCGGCTCTGGGGCGGGCGCGGCCGCCGCTCCTTTCATAGCCCCGGGGTTCGCCCGCCCCCGAGGGCCGGCCCGAACCCTCCCCGGGGCGCCGGGGGGGCCCGGGCTCAGCCCCCCGCCCCGCCTGGCAGCTCCGCTCCGCTCCCATGAGGAGCTGGTCCCGGGGATGCTGCCGGGACAGTTCTGAGCTGCGGCGGGCCCGGGGCCGCGAGAGGGGGATACGGGACGGGGAAAGGCAGCGCTCTGAGCACGGCGGCAGCTCAGACCAGCTCCTTCCCCGCTGGGGACACACCACTCCAGTGCTSGGTATGGTTCTTGCTCAACATTTATTTCATTTTCCCGCCCCGGCTCTATTTTTCCCCATTGCTCTCCTTTACGTTTCCCCCTCTTAAACGTTTCTGTCTACTGTACCGTTTCCACCCGCTTCTGTATCTTTTCAGGCTTCTTGTTCTGGCTTTTCCTCTTCTGGCTTTTCCTCTTTTGGCTCTTCCTCTTTCGGCTTTTCCTCTTCTGACTTTTTCTCTTCTGGCTCTTCTTCTTTCGGTTTTTCCTCTTTCGGTTTTTCCTCTTGATTCCCTGGGTGTTGTACCACTTCCTTCTTCTCTTCCGCCTTCTCGATGCTGTTTTTTATGTCTTCATCGCTGGTGGGACCATCTGGGAAGGAAAAAGGGAACTTAAGCCAAGTCTTGGTACTCAGCAGCTGGGCATGAGAAAGGGCCCCGGGCTCCCTTACCCTCACCAGGAATCTCTGACTCCCATCTAGGTTTTAGGACATGACCCGGGGGCTGCGGGCACAACTCCCTGCCAGGACCCCCCAGAGGGACAGGGCAGGGCTGGAGTGTCGGTGACACCGGGTTGGGCTGCAGGGGACACTCAGGGAGCGCTGTCATCTCCTACTCCAATGGACCTGGGAGCACAGCTGGATCAATGATGGACTTCCACCAGGATTTAAATKCAATATTTGCAAGGAAATGGGTGCTGTGGGAATKCTRAGGTGCTGCTGATGTGCTCCAGAASAAGAAAGTGGGGTRTTTTCCATTTCTGGGTGCAGAGGTGTGAACGACAAGTACCTTTATGTGAGGGAACCATCGAGTGTTTCTTGCTTTTGTTCAGCTCCTCAATGTAGCTTTTGCTCACACTATCCAAGGCCTGAAAGGGATGTGGTTCTTAATAAAAGCCCCAGAAATGYAGTTCCATAGCCCACCCATTCATTTTCTTTTGCTCCTTGCTATTATTACCCGGTCATTTCCTACTCTAAAACTCTGCATTTCTACAGCATTCCTGGCTGGAGCACCCCAGCTGGGATAACACTATGCACAGATGCTGCCCAGAGCTCCTCCTCCCTGCAGCTGCCCCCTTACCGCAATGATGCCACTTTGAGCATCTTCACCAGGCACAAGCTTSGCCTTCTCCAGGGCCTTTTCAAAGTTCAAGATCGCAGAACGGTAATCTTTCAATTTCACTGGAACAGAAAAGGATATCAGGTGGTTTGCCCAGGATCAGGAGAGCAGCAAGGATTAATCAAGCCAATCCTGATCTGGGCAGTTGTTCTGGCTGTTAAATCTCAGAGATGTTTTCAGACCAGCTTCCCCAGCCTGAGAGCAAAACCCATGCCCACATCTTTACCTTGTGCCTGTGCCACCAGCACGGTGGCGTGGAGCTGCCACTCCACATCTCTCTCTTCATCTGCTGCYTGCAGAGACCTCTGGCCATAATCTTGGGCTGCTTCAGCTTTATTCAGCTCGAGGTAGCACCGGCCAATTTCGTGGAAGAGCCAGGCCTTCTCCAGGCTGGATTGGGCCAGTGGAATCTTCTGCTCCCAGCTTCAAGCAGAGTAAGACAGACATACCTTTACCAACTCCTACTGGGCACAGTTWCAACTCAGCTGCTGATTTGACAGCAAAATGTTCAGATGTGAAAACTTCCCCAGGCCCTGCTGAGAACACACAACTGAAGAGTCATGATTTGGGTCACTCCAACCCTCTGCTGYCTTTCCTGCTGGGCTGTACCTACGTGTTGATGGCCTGCTGGAACCTGCCAAGTCGGGCATACACGTGGCCAATGTTGTCAAGGGCTCGGGACACGGCATCCGGCAGAGAGCTGTGACAGGGAGACAAAGGGATTGTGGCACTGACATTGTCCCGTTCCTTACTCAGTCTGGGTTTTTTCAGCCTCCCGTTGGTGCTCCCCATCCCCTCAGGGAAACGGTGGGAAGCAAAGGGCCCAGGTCAGACTGAAAGTCATGAAATCAAGGTTGGTTTTTGATTTTTTTACAGCTCTGGTAGCTGACCCCATGACACACAGAGAAAATGGTTTAGCTTTGCCTTTATTATTAATTTCTGTGCTAATCTGGCGGTCCATGGGAAAGTCTTTCCCTTTTTTTTTGTCTCAGTTCCCTCTGTGTCCCTGACACTCATGGATGATTTCTGTCTTTCAAAGACCCAAAAAGGTGTCTGCAGTGTGTCTGCAGGCTCCTGACAGCAGCCCTGATCCTGTGCTTGGACCGAGCTTTACTCCATATTACAGGCAGCTCCTTCTATAATACGGGACCCTGTGAGCTGTAATTTTTTTCCTTAATTATCCTTTTTCTCATCTTCAGAAGCAGTTCTGCCTATCCTCGTCTTAGAGATGGAAAAACCTATGAGACGTGCGGATAAATGCGATGGGACTSAGGGAATCACGGACYGGTTTGGGTGRRAAAGGACCATAAGGATGATCCAGTGCAAACCCCCGTGTTAGAATCATTAACTCGAGTAATTAACGAGTCATTAGCGGCACCTCCAGCTGCAGCCACCAGAGGGCGCGGCCCGCCCGTCACCGCGGGTCCTTAAGCGCAGCTCAGCGTTCAGAGCGGTCCCAAAGCCGGGAATCTGCTCCCGCCTCTCTCCTGATAATTCCTGCCTTTATCTGGCCTACCCCGRGAGTGGGATCACTAGGAGAGAGGCAGCCTGCTCCTAAACCGACATTCATTTCCAAAAGGATTTTTGAAAATTAAAAACAGCCACTCAATGACATTTTGAAAGCCCAGTGTGCTACTGACAAAAATAAACCCCAAATAATTTCAAGCCACTGTTCCTTGGTTTCTGCTATGCTTTGCAAACTCTTGCTAAATCTAAGACTACATTTTGCTCCACTGTTGAAGAGCTGTRGGATATGTCCAGTGCAGACAGGTAAGTGCACCAGGATTAGACCTTTATTTCAAGCCATGCTTAATGTATGAAAAGAGGTTTAAGATAAAATGGAGCAGAAAACTGGTGCAATTTCAAGCCTGATCTTCCTGAGAAGGAAGTGCCGGCTCAAGTGCTGAGACTGGRACTTGTGTTCTTTTGCTTTGCTTCAGCAGAGGTTTTGATGTGCCCAGCACTGTGAGTCCTTAAAAATCTGCTTCAGGCTCCTTATTTTTTAAATAGTGACAATAAAAAGCCACCACAGACCCTAATACTTGGGCAAAGTTGAATGTGTAGCCCTGTTCAACTCCCAGGTGAGAATTACATTACCTAATGCTGAAACACCTCCACAGAGGTRCTTTCCCCTTTCCCCACCCACCTGAACTTCCCAGTCCTTACTTCTGCCTGGCACATTCCAGATCCAACTTATGGCTGCGCAGAGCTGCCTCCATCTGTTCCATCGCCAGCTGTGCRTTGCCCATGTTGCTGTAGAGGTTCCCAATCAGCTCATTCTTGTTGGGAACTTCATCCTCTGCCCACCCTTGTATCTTTTTCAGCAGATGCTCAGCTCTCCTGCAGCTTTCCTTAGCGGAGCCTCTGGCCAGCACTGGGGACAGGGAGCAGAGTTTGACATTGAGAAGTTGTGAATTCCCCGTCAGTGGAAGTGTTCCTGGCCAGGTTTGATGAGGGTTGGAGCCACCCAGTCTAGTGGAAGGTGTCCCTGCCCATGGTGGGGAGGGTGGAACGGGGTGAACTTCAAGGTCCCTTCCCACCCAAACCATTCTGGGATTCTGTGATACTCAGGAATTGAGATGTGGTGAAGTGGTAACCCTCAGACAAAGCTTGGGAATAGTGAAATCTCCCCACAGCAGTGGGAGGCACTCATCTTCCAGCAGGAACCTACACAGCTCAATGTCCTCCATATTCTTWGCGATGAATCTGCCGATGTCGGATGTTTTCCGTTTCTTGTCGTACATCCGTCCCTGCAGGAGGCGCTTGCGCTCGTACTCCCGGGCGTAAATCGGCTTCTGCTGCTGCCAGAAATCCCGGCGGTTGTTCAGGTAGGAAATGCCATCCAATATCAGCGCCTCGATTTTGATCCCTTTTCTTGTGGTGGTCTGCATCAAGTCTAGGAATAGGATAGGGTAGAACACAGGTGAAAATCAACAGATCTGAGCTGCTGCTCAGTGAGGAATTAATTTGGGATGTTTTTTCTTCTCTGACATACACAGTCCTGGAAGTGAAAGTGTCCCAATTCCTCAGAGCTGAGGTGATGGGGAGTTAATGAAAAACTGTCACCCATCCTGTGTGGTTCAGTGAGCTGAGCTGGTGTTCCAGCCCCACATCTGCTGCCTTCCCTGCTGATCAGAGCCAAGAAGGGGCCCAAAAAGTGAAGCCAGGTGTGGCCAGGTGTTCTTTGGGACAGAACATCTGTATGGCACATCTGTATTGACAGGGCACTTTGAACAGTGCTGTGGATCAGGTTGGCAGGTGGAAACTGGAAACCAGACCGCCCACGTATATAATTAATACTGGCAATACAGTAAAACCTAGGAGCAGACCAAATCTTAATCACTTCTCTATTTCTGGCTGAAAAGTTCCCTAGAAATATGACTAAAGGAGAATCATCTTGGTGGCTTTTTCTAAAATAAGATACTTCTCCAATTCCTGCRTGTTGACCTTAACAGCATTTATAACAAACCCTCAGAGGAATCACAGCCCCATGAGCAGAAATGCCTGTGTCCCCATCCCTGTGAGCACCCATGTGCTATGTGAGCTGTGGTACAACTAAGGAAGAGTCACAGGGCTCTAAAAGAAGAAGAGAAATGAAGGATAAAAGAAAAGGATGAAAGAAAAGTAGAAGCTGCTGAGAAGGAAAAACACCTTCATCCTTGAGCAACTTCTCCAGGTACGCCTTGTCAGCATAAAGCTCTCCCAGAAGCTGATGCTCTGTTTTTACACTTTTCTTCTTTGTYGGTTTTTGATCCTTAGGCGGTTTGCTCTGCTGCATCTGTTTGTCTTTTTTGCTCTGCAGCTACAAAAAAGCAAAAGGAGTTGGGGAAGGTCAGTGGGGAGCACTGGAATGAGCAGAATTCTGTTTTCACTCCATATAAGAAGCTTATTTTTTTAAATAAAAGCAAGAAGTCAGTGTCTCACCAGTTGCATTGGCTGTGAGCAACTGAAATTCTGCAGCCAATTGTGTTCCCTGAGGACCACAAGGATGTTACAGAAAGTGCAACAACTAGTTCTAGCCCCTCAAAGGGACAAGACACTTCTGCAAAGGAACATCCAAMAGTGAAGCAATAGAGAAAGTGTCCATTATCAAAACTGTGATCCTTAAACATCAGGTAARCCCAAAGTCAATATTGGAGCTCACTGTACCCTCCTCGACCTCTGGGCTGTTACTCATTAGCCTCGGGTGGGTGACTGGCAGCACCCCCACATACAGGCTGGAGGAGAAACTCCAAACTTTATTGTGTTCCTGCATGGTGACTTTTCCTGCCCTTCCACTTAAAATTCTGGGTGGATTGAGCCAGACCTGCATTAGCAACAGGTGACAAACACTCTCATGGCAGGCCAGTGTGTTTTAATGCCCAGAAGGCCCCTCAGCAGGCCCACTGCTCCCACAGCCATGGCCCTGTGGGGACTATCACCCATCTCATGCCCATTTCAGGCAGTTTTAGCATCACAACAACTCCAGAAGCTCCTTCAGCAAGAGCCCTGTGCTGTACCTCTGCCTGCCTGCTCACGAAGCCCAGCTCCTTCTTGCTCTCCAGCTTCACCAAGGATGGATCTGCAGACACAGAGGAGTCTGTGTTAGTGCTCCCCAGCAGCCATGCAGGGTGTTGTGAGTAAAATGCCCACAAAGGTGCCAAACCCAAAATGCTCAGTTTGAACCAGAGCTTTTCTAATTCTTTCCCATGGAATAGGGGGCGTTGGTGTGTTCTGGGAGCAGGGAATGCAGCTTATCCACCAGCTCCTCTGGGGATTTTAAATCWCATGGCACCAGGGGCTCCTGTTGCAATATTCCTACAGACAGGGTGCATCCTGCATGGAAACTGAAGAAGGAGAAGGATGTATGTTCTTCTGGGGGATCACAGCTGGAGCATAAAACAGAAGGAAAGCTTCTGCAATTCAGACAATTATTTTACAGTGCACAGGTTTGTGCACTGATCAGAGCAAAACACCCATGGTGTTTTCACTGCCCCCAGTTCCATTGTTATTCTGCATTCCAGGAAGGGAGAGTGAGGAATAGCTCTTTATTTGGCCCGAAAGAAGGACAGAGCTTCTGAGGCTGCTACAGAATTCCCTTCAGCTCAGCCTCAGAGCTCAGACCAGCATGAACACAGGCAGATCTTGATCCTTCCAGATGAAGCAGAGTCAGGAAAGCAGTTTGGGGATGCACCCTGTCAATGTGTGTGCATTTCCCAAMTATTCAAACATCCAGCTCCATGCTGATGTGCTTCCATGCTTCCCTGTATCTCGGATATACTGACTGATTTTTAAATGAGTTTTTAATTTTTTTAATCCATTCCCAYGCCTGCAGCCCAGAAGCTTGAGGGTGGTTAGAGCTCTTGGCTCAGGGTACAGAGTTGGGAAGATTTCAGCTGGGACCTGTGACAATATCTGAGCCTTGTGCTAAGCTCAGGAAGCAGCAGGAATGGAGGAAAGCAAGCCAGATCTGGAACCCTTCCCTGTTTTTTAAATAACTATCCCATATGAAAGCGCTGCAGGCTCTGGTGCCACTGGCACGTGTTAATCCCTGGCACYGGGGGAGGGCTGAAGTTTTGAAATTTTGGGAGAGGGAGGCCCTGGACTATCTGGGGATCTGTGTAGGGTGTGAGTGGGGCGTGGCAGGCTCTGGGATGCACCGGAGCAGAGCGGTTCCAACCCACCAGGCAGGTTGGGCAGCTCCAGACAGCCCTGCATGGCTGCTTCACTCACGTGTCACAGGTGGCAGCCCCAGGTGAGATGGTCTGTGCCTCACACTGGGACACGTCCTGTCCATGTGCACTGGCAGGGCTGAGAGAAAAACTGAGGGAAAAGGGACAAGTTTTCTGTTTGTTTTGAACCCCACGAGGTCCTTGGCCTTCCCTGTCTCTACTGGACCTGCTCTGTGAGCTGAGCCAGGAATGATGAAAGCAGAGCTCATTACAAGAGTCAACAGTTTCACTGCTCTTGTGCAATGAAAWTTGGAGGAGAGTCAGGATTTCAGGAGGCCAGTCTGAGGTAGCACGGCACATTTCATTCCAAACTTTGAATCCAACGATAAAGGTCTCAAAATGGATTCTGTAATTAGCACTGGAGGTAGATCACAGAATCACAGAATCCCAGAATGGTTTAGATCGGAAAAGAACTTAGAGCTTATCCAGTTCCATCTCCTGGAATTCCTCCTCCCACRGGCAGGGACATCTTCCACTGTCCCAGGGTGCTCCAAGCCCCATCCAACCTGGCCTTGGACATTTCCAGGGATCCAGGGGCAGCCACAGCTTCTCTGGGCAACCTTTGCCAGGGCCTCTCCACCCCCACAGGCAAGAATTTCTTCCCAATATCCCATCTAACCCTGCCATCTGATAGTGGGAAGCCATTCCCCCTTATCCTGGCATTCCAGGCCCTTGTAAACAATGTCTCCAACTTTCTTGTCACCTCCACTCTGTACTGGGAATGCCATAATCGGGTTGCTGATGAGATGAGCTGCTCTGCTCTGTATTCCCTGGAGCGCTTCCATGATGATTTTGGAAATGTGAGTGTCAGGATTTACCTACAGAGCTAAAGGGATCAGACACTGTGTGTGAACAGGCATTCAGGGGTGAAAAAAAAAGAATGAAAGGAGAGCAGGGTTGGCTCTTTGTGGTGCTTCCAGATTTATCTGCCACAAATACCATGGATCCAGAAGCAGAAACGCTCTGGTGTGGGGCCCTTGGAGCACTTGCAGAGCTGATTTGCCATCAGCTGTGCCCTGAGCAGCATCGTCCAGGCTCATGGGGGCCAGAAAGTGACMCTCCTTACGCCCAATGCAGTTGACAATCGCCTCCTCGGCCTTGTTGATGCCCAGCTGGAACTTGTGCAGATCTGGGCGGAGCCTTTGGCCTCGGTGGTAAAACACCAGCGCAAACTCAAAGTCACCCATGGAGTACAGTGTCTCTGCCTTTTGGTAAAGCCCCTAAAATGACATTTGGGAAAAAAAAAATTAATTAAAATGAGGGAAAACTTGCATGGAACTCAAGTAACTCCTGCCAGGCAGAAGTGAAAGCCCAGGGCTGTAACAACTCACATGAATTAAACCCCAAACCTGGAAGTGTCTGAACACCTCAAAAGCTCAGAACAACAGAAATCTCAGGAGTGTTTGGAGTGAGCTCTTTGCTCAGACCCCACAGTGTCTTGGCCACCCCACTCATACCCCTTCAGCTGGTTACCTCAGAGAATGCTTTGTCGTGTTGGAGCGAGGCTTCAGCATCTTTCAAGGAGTTTGCTGTGTCTCCAAGTTTCAGGAAACACCTGGAGCGGGTGACAAGGCAGTGCTTGTCTCCTGCCCTCAGCTTCAGCGCCTGGAACCACAGACATGGACATGTCACCARTGTTAGCTCAACACCACAAATACACAAGTGCAGGTATTTGGGGCCACCTGGACAGTTTCCACGTGGACTTGATGATGGATGGGGATAAAACCACTGAAAAGAGTCTTTTGTTGTTCACAGGTTCTCTTGTGCTGCAGGCGCTGTCCTGACCCTGAACTGCCCCGTCCGGGTTACCCCTCGAGCCGAGACCTCCTGCGGTCCCTCCGAGCCTCCCCCTCTCGCCGCGGGTGCCTCTTCCCCCTCTGAACCGGGCCGTGTCCCYTCACGGCGGYCCCCCTGAGGCCCCTCCCGCCGCAGGCAGCCCGGTGCCCTCAGACCGCGGCGCCCTCACGTCGTTGAAGCAGCACAGAGCCTTCTCGTGCAGTCCCCGCCGGCCCAGGGCTATTCCCTCGCTCATGAGRTTCCCGAAGGTGGAGATGGGCAGATCATCATCGTCCGCCATGGCTGCGCCGCCACGCCGTTGCCAAGCAACGGTCAGCGGACAGTTCACTTCCGGTGAGCTGCCCCGCCCCGGAAGTGACGCA